CGTGTTTCTGAAATAAACTTATAAAACCCAAAGACCCGCGGGGCAGCAACAGAATATAACAAGAAACGAATCGAAAATCAAGCCACTTCAAGAAGAAAATAAAGGGAATTCATTTATACACTGAGCGTTCAATAAATTTCGAGGTTAACAATTTTGAGTGCAAAAGAAAACAATTAGATGTCAACATTATCAAGTCTCTGAAATCCAGTAGGCTTTTAATATGTTAACTTCTGTTTTTAAAAATTTATAAAAAAAATTTTTTCACACTACAAAAAGCTGTAATTGCATATTGGTTTCCACATCTAGTTTCTCTTATACGATGTTCACACAATGAGTCTGAACTGTTGAGAATTACTATGAAAATAACTCAGGAAAAGCGAAACACCGGTACTGCTAATGCACTAAACACTGCTGAGAAAAAAAAAGAAAAAAACAAAGGAAAAAAAGCCAAATAAATAATCAAACAAGCGAAAAACAATTTTTTTTGCAATTTTTACAAGCAGTTTCAGCAATAAAAACTTGTATTTATCCAAGTACCTGAAAATGACAAAAAATTTAATAAATTGGAGCTTCTCTACTCACAGTGAATAAGATTTGACTTACCAGTCAAAATTTTCGTCCATTAGCAGTAATTTTTTAGATTTTATTCAACGCTGCAAAACCATTACCTTATCGAAATGTAATAAAAATTGATTTTTCCTCATAAGTGTACCCCTTTACTGAAAATTTTAATTATTAACACAAAAAAAGCATATTCTCAATAGCTTTCTAAAATTTCCTACACATTTTTTTAGCCGAAAAAACCGCGTTTGAAAATAAATTTAGATTAAAGCTTTATTCTTAAAAAAATTAATCAACAACTTTTCAAACAATTTTGATAAAAATGCCTAAACGTCTAAGATTACTGAAGGTAAAATTAGCTTCAAAAATTTAGAAGTCATTGAGTGCAGTTTTTTCAATGTCATTTTAGCTATTATCTTAATATTTGTAATACATTACTGAAAAACCATAAAAGAAAATTCTCAAGATCTGAGTAAAAAAGATGTTAGTGGTTCACAAAGGAACAGCCCAAATAGCAATTATGTGACAAATTTACCAAAATATTTTTAAAATTTAACTCACCGTTACTTGTTATTCTCGGTTGCGCTCTGAAGATTACCTGTAAAGTTCTAAGTCGTTTAAACCCAGTATGGTTTAGCAATCCTCATCTTCGACAAAACCTTATGAAGCCATTTCGCACTCCACATATTTCAAACATTTATTTTTCCAATATTTGCTAAAATTTTCGCTTGCCATCTCCTGCAAACAAAATTATAGTGAAATAATTACTGAACACAGAGGAAACTAAGTTTTATCTGCTTAATTAGTTTTTCTACACTAACCAGTCTTGGTTGAGTATCTTCAATACCCATCCGGGCGTATAAGCATACTAATTTCAAGATGACTGGAAGAATACAACAGCGAAACTCACTTATACTCATGTTTCACCGACCTAATGGTCATTAGTTTTGTCTTGATAGATGTCGGAATTTGCCCAGCAAATTCTGGAATTTTCTTTGATAGTCACTTTTCAATATAATTTTGAAATTCTTATAAATATTTGATGTTCAAAATGATTAATTGGCAAAATTTCAGAAACTCGATGTTACTTCTTTCGGAGGCTCTTTCGCACATGTACGACCTTAGGCGGACTGGCGAAAATTCAGAAGCACCAATCGGTAACGGTTTCTAATCCTCAAAACAGTAAAGTTGACTGATTTCGATTTTTTACAGTCACTAGTGTACATTCTGCCTGTCACACTTTAGCCTTCGGAATGTGACTGTCTGTTAAAAACCTAGACGCGTAAAAAAGTTTCTGAAGCTTTCTACAAATTTCACCGTTTCTTTACTGAATAACTGGAGACAAGCTACCGTTTTCCGAAAACGTTCGTCAGTATCGTTTTTAATTGACTTGCAACGCTTCGTTCAAACATTTTAGCGTTTTAGCTTTCATCAGTTTATCGCTGTAGGTGGCTTCCATCCAGTTGAATTGTAACTCTTCTTTTATCATCAGAAACTAGCTTTTCCAAATCCGTGTGAAAAGAAAGTCAAAGAAGATTACGAAGACAGCAGACTTCAAGTGGAGCAGGAATGGTGACCTTGGTCTTTGACGATGACCGTTTTTTAGAGTTTTTGTGATTATTATACGTAGCACTTACTTCGTCAAAGGGCTATGAATTGTGTTAACATGTTACCTGCTCATTTCACGAATTCAACAGAGTAAACAGCTCGATTTCATGCTTTTGAGTCCAAATTATACTTTTGTTATACATCATACCAAGTTTGTATAAGGAGATAAGCGACATTTTTGTTCGATTTTAGCGCTTATTTTACTGAGAATCCAGTTTTCAAAGGCATACTTTATTTAGTTTTTAATGATTAGTACTTTTTCAGGAAATGGCCTATCCGAACGGTGTCCCTACTGCAGCTTGGAAAGAGTTATTCGTGGCTGCTCAGTCTTTAGGTGCTGATTCTTCTGGTTCATCGAAACCAATGTCAGCAGAAGTAAATTTGTCCCATCCATTTTTTATTCTTGTTATTCGTGAACACCTTGACCCTATTTATGAAACAATGTTTGAAATGGAACAGAATGCATATCCATTCACCTTTCTAGAAAGCAGTTACCTTTTAGGACCGAAAGTTTTTGGAGGAGGCTATGTCTGGTTTGGTTAAAACGTCGGATCCAGTTCGCCAAATGATCCAACTCATTAACGATTTAAAACAGATAAATAACCCGTCGGAAGAGAATATTGAAAAGATAGAAGTTATTATTGATCAGCTGGAAAACATTGTTTGCCAAATAGACTGTGCCGTGGATTTTTGTAAACTTGGCGGGATGGTTGAAATTAAAAGATTTCTGGTACGTTAGCACTAGACTGGAACACTGGCTAATTTTGTTTATAACAAGTGCTAGTTGGGACTGTAGTTTTTTAAGGGGAGCAAATGCAATCCAGCAAGGATAGAAGCAATGAGGCTTTTGCCGACAATCTTGCAGAACAACCCTCAGGCTCAGGAGTTTATCTTGAAAACCGACCTTCTGCAAATTCTTTTCTCATTGGCGACTGCAGAAACGGAACCATCAGTTGGTTTTACTTAGATATATTCTGCTTTCCTGATGTATATGATTGTATATGATGTAGCTTCGGAATAGTGACACTTTGTTTGGTTCACTAACTGGATCTGAGTTTGGAAGTAACTACTCTATTTTGAAACCCCTCAGCAACTTCTAGGACTTTACCTAGGATTTTACAGGAAATCAAGATAAAGGCCTTAAGTGCAATTTCAGCAGCGGTAAGAGGACACGATCAGGGTTACAGGTAAAAGGTTGACAAAAGCTCACTTTTTAGTAAAGCTTTTTCTCGCTATGTACCTTTTAAACTGCTAAATATTTCAGTGATTTTCGTCGTCTTAACGGTTTCAAAACAATCATTAGCGTTTTCGATTCTGCAGTCGTTGCTAAAGATTGGAGTGTTGCTAATAAGGCTGCAGTTACAATGGTCAGTATAGCAAATGACCTGGGTTATAATTGTAAGTCTTGTGCGTTTATCCACCTTCTTAATGGTATGCAGTTACGGTGGTATGTTCAAGGACTTGATTACGAAAGTTTAAAGTGGACATTATGTGTTTAGTCCTAGCTCCGTGCTCTAACTTCCACTTTAATATTTCAAACCATTAACTTCATTTTCAGCAGCACTTGACCACGGGTTACCAACGGCTATCATCACCATGTATTCTAAGCTCCCTTCAAACTCCTCCTCTTCCTATTTAAGAGATTATATATCACAGAATATGGATTTGAAGAAAATCGATAAAGACAATGGCAAGTTGATTATCAAAGGACTGGAACGCGACCTTGAAGACGAACGTGCGGCTGAGGAGCCAGACGAGGTAGTTCTATCGCTTTACAGTTAAAATTTAGATTCTCAGTAGAACACAAGTGCAGGAATCAAAATAAGCATGCCGCTTATCTTCTTATGAAAAGTCGTTGTGAAAAAACAAATGATTCAGGCTGAAAAACATAAACCTAAGCGGTTTCCTTTTTAAAACTGTAGCCATGTCTTTCAGTGGCT